TAGAACACAGCACTAAAATTTAGTATCATAACCCACAGTGTTAATTCATGCCAACAAAAATAACAGCATGAAGAATTTACAATTTTACAAAGCTGCGATAAAGTGCTTTAGGTAACATCTGTTCAGCAATCATTTCTTTAAAAGACTAATTTAGATTCAAGGTCTTACACTGCAGCATAACTGCAGCAATAATTCAGTCACTTTGTAATTAAAGATATTGACACAGATTGGTCTTACCTTTCTACTCTATGCCAGAGAAATGGAAGTGCTTTTCCTCTTAACTACATCTTTCTTTGATTTATAGACACTGTTAAATGCAACTGTTAATTTGTCTATTTTTAACAGATTGGTGTAAACAAACCCTTCTTGACTCATAAATTTCATAAAGAACTTAATCAAAAACATAACCTGAAAGGCACTGAAGTCAGGTCAACACTATACTGAAATTAATAGAAACACCTCTAATTTGAGCTAGAAATTGAAGTTGATCTCTTGAGGACCACTGTCTACAATACGTAGTATCTGCAAAGTGCAGCTGGAAGTCACATAACACAGCACGCACTGTAATGTTTTTCAAACATTAATAAGGTGGGGGGGAATCAAGGAGAGCAAGTGGCAAACAATTGCTTTTTGCCCCACCTTGCCCTAGCAGATTTCAGAAGTTTTTTGCTCAATCAATGTATACATAGAGAACAGCTGAAATATCTGCCATCGTGTAGATTTCCTCTTTTCACAAGATCCCACAAGGGGTTTAGGGATGAGCTTTCAATAAGCTGAAGTACCACAGAAATTCTTTTACCCTTTTAGAAGTCCCACTCCTCTAAAAATTTGGACCTGTTGAACAAAGTCATGCTGGTATGTGCCTCAAAATGAACCATCACTCTTTCAAAAAAAGTATCTAAAATTATTCTGCAAAAGAACCAAGACAACTGAGACTTGAAACTCATTCACTTCTTTTGAGAAGCTAGTTTATTCAAAAAGAGTCCATCAAGGCCTCATTTGACAGGGCTAAACAGTTATAGTGGCTGATTCCAATGCCTCTTTCTCCCCCCCTCCACCCCTCATATGCAGTGGGTTTTTAAAAACTGTATTTTCCTCATTTAAAAAGAGAATTTTCTTTAGAAAGGAGAAAAAAGATGAGATGCATGTTAATGATGTCACCTTTGTCAATAAGCAATCCAACTTCACCTCAAGGTTTGTCAGGGAATCAAATTATTTTCCAGATTAGCATATCTGCTATGACAGATCAATATGTTGCATTGACTGGAAGGGTCCAACCCGGAACTTATTTTCAAGCCTTGAACACTAAGAAATATTACATTCACATAATCTGTATTACTTGAGGTCAATAAATCTAACAGCTACTTTAATCTGACAAATGTACACAGATAGAAATAAAACTGAGGTAACATGAGGTATAGCACTCTAAATACCCCAAACAGAGAAAGGGGCATAAGCTAAATCTAAAACTGGATTACAGAGAGCCCAAAGGCATGAGAGCCAGGCTTTACACATTCAGACACAAAACTAATATAACTATTAAAATTACATTGAAGATGTATTACAGAAAGAGTTAGATGCAAAGAAGTCAAGTTGGAAAATACCTCTAAGATCATCAAGTCCCAACCATAAACCAAACACTGCCAAGTCCATCACTAAACCACATCCTAAAGTGCCACACCTACACATCTTTTCAACACCTTATGAGATGGTGACTCAACCGCTCCTCTGGGCAGCCTCTTTCAGTGCCTGACCACCCTTTCAGTGAAGAAAGTTTACTTAATATCCAATCTAAACCTACTCTGGTGCAACTTGAGGCCCTTTCCTCTTGTTCTGTCACTTGTTACTAAGGAGAGGACACTGACCTCCACCTCACTACAGCCTCCTTCCAGGCAGTTGTAGAGACAATAAGGTCACCCAGTGAGTTTATGGCACACCTAGAATACAATCCATGCTCAATCCATAAATCTTCAGTCCCTATCAACATCCAAGGATAAAATCTTTGTTTAAGACATTATTTAAAGATGAAAAATAGGACTATCGTTAGGACTATGGTGCTTTTGAAAATTGCAGTTTGACAAAGCATTTTCATGAATTAAGGACATTCTCACCTATCCCTGCTTAAAGAGAAACTGGGCAGGGGAACAGGAAGAAGCAAAAAAAAAAAAAAATCAAAATTCACACCTACCTACAAGATTATTATATTCCCTATAAACCTGAGTCAGAACCCCAAATTCAGCCCCCTTTATTTTCTGTAGCTGTGACCTCAACACCATGACCTTAAAAAAACAGTCAGCTGATACCTATATTGAAACATTATCAAAATCACCCTTGCAGAGCCTGGCAGTCCTAGACAAATGCCCAAAAGGCTCACCTGCACCAGAGAAAAGGCCTTCTTTCACTGAAAAGATGAGATTTCATCTAAGAAAAAAGTCTCAATGGCTTTTATCACATATCTATCCACATTCTTCTCCCTATAAACTATTGTACTGCCATTTTAACACATGATTAGCAAAACTGAACGTGATGGCAACACACCACTTCTGTTTTAGCACATAATTATAGGAAAAAATGAAAACCATTGTGATATCTGCATAAGAACTTGGCAGTTAAAGTACTGGTAGTAAGTGAAACCTCTTGACCCAGAGCTCTTGTCAGTCACAAACACACAAAAATCAATGACTCTCACAAAAGGAATAATCCAACCCTCAACTCATACAGCAACACCATCCAATCTTTTACAGTGGCCAGACCACGTGGCATTCTCCTCACAGATCATATACTAAAGCATGCTGTGAGTGACTGGGAAGATCTGGGGTCATGAGACATTTTGGGGTACGTGTGTGTGGGGCAAGGGGCTGGTTGGCCCTTGCCTTGGTGAGGTGATGCCCTGCTCTGCACACACACCCCACTCCTGGAGTATCCCAGCACCCCACACTGGCTGCCAATTCCTGGCACAGAGGAGGCAATGCTCCACACCTGGCCTCTGGAGCCCCTAACCCAGCTCCTGAGTGGCCAAGCAAACAGAAGTCCCACCTGGGGGAGGGGCCCCAGAAGGCCAAGGGGTATTTAAAGCTGAACCCAAGGCATGTACGTTTTCACCCTACCTCCTCTTGGAACTTCTGTCAGCTGAGCACTGCTGGAACCCAGCAGCTGGTAGCTATACATGTCCTTTTTTATGTCTTTTTTGTTGTCCTCTCCTTTTTCATTTAATTCCCACTTCTTAGAATTTCTGAGTAACTTAATAGGGCCTAAAGTCTGCCAAGTTGAATGGGCTAAGTTAATGCTTAGAGATGATTTTTATGTTGATTGAATGTTGCACTAAACCTTTTGCCAAAGATCTTTGATTGTCTGAGGTTGCCAGTAAAGTCTTTTTTGATGTTTTGACCTCTTGAGAATATCATGCTGCAATTTCTCCTGTACATCTAACTCAGAATACAGGAACAATCATGAGCCCTTTTGAAAGCCTCATCAAGTGAGGGGCCATGTCACCTGCCTGACTAAAACACACGTGTCCCCAGTGAATAGATACACAGCCACTTACGAAGCCAAGAAAATAGCTCTTGGTCACTTTCATTTATGTCCATTCTCACATGCAGAAAAAGGCACAGGAACATGGTGCAAACAGTGGCCTCTGCAGCCACAATACAAAAAGATTGCAGCAAACAGGAGTATTCCAGGAGCAAGGTGTGACCTTCCAGAACAGGTCTGGCCAGCCTGTTTGATACCGTTTATTGGCTAACTTTTTTGAACCTGTGCACCAGTGCCAGGCACTCAAGTACTGAACATTTCATAAATTCACCTTAGAATCAAGTGTCTAATAAGCGTTATAGCATCTCTTTTGTAATTATGTAACAAATACAGTTTAGAGCAGGTGGGATCAGGGACAGCTGAACAAAGATCAACACGCACCACCTAAATATGAGCACGGGGTGAATTTCCTCTGCATGCAGCAGATACTCCCTGAAAGGAGGTTGTATCCAGGTGGGATCAGCCCCTTCTCCCTGACAACCAGCGACAGGATAAGAGGACACAGTCTCAAACTACACCACAGGATGTTTAGGCTGGACATAATGAGGAATTTCTTCACAGAAAGGGTGATGAGACATTGGAATGGGCTGCCCTGGGCAGTGGTGGAGTCACCATCCCTGAAAGTGTTTAAGTAAAGACTCAACACAGCACTTGGTGCCATGGTCTAGTTGGCATGGTGGTGGTCAGTCACAGATTAGATTTGATGATTTCAGAGGTGTTTTCCAACCCAACTGATTGCGTGGATACAAGGCCTGTAGAATATACGCTGGTCTCAACTCTAATGCTTGGAATTTTCATCATGTCCAAACAAAAACGGGTTATTTCTGGGTACACTTTGGTTAGAGCACATCTTGCAGACACATTCTCTTGTGACAAGCCACCTTGAGTTTCCCAATTTCTTGGTGTGCTAGCCAAAAGCTTGTAAAAGCAGGCCTACAGAAGAGAACTGTACTAAGTCCTTTAAATTCAAAGACAGTTCTTACACTGTAGAGTTTATATCACTCAAGTTAAAAAAAAAAAACAACAACAACAAAACCACAAAAAAACCCCACAACAACAACAAAACAAACTCCGCAGTCCTATTAGATGTAACACCGTTTACACACACATTAAGAGTGGAAGTCTGGTCTATTCCCCTTGCAACCATAGCTGGCACGCAGCAAGCAAAGGCAATGAACCCTTGCGATGAAGCACTCAGGAGAGAGCTGAAAACTTGCTGCGTCCTTTCACACGGGCAAGCAAGAGGCGAGCTGGACTAGGCGGGGTCAGCCTTGGAAGCCCAGCTGAACTTGACTGTGCCACGGATTCCCACTCAGTGCCCGGTCTCGGCGGGCCCCAGGCAGTGACTGGCCCCGGAGGGGACGGCGAGGGGGAGACGGGGGTGTCACCGCTCGGCCGGGCCCCCTCGGCACAGGCCCGCCAGGCCCCACTCCTCAGGCACCCCCGCCGCGGGACCGGCTCGTACTTACGAATTTGGGCTTCCTGCTGTCCGCCGCCTCCTCGGGGCCCCCGGCGGTACCGGTGCCCGGCGGGCCCTTCCGACGGAGCCCCTTGTTCTCCCGCCCGCCGCGACCCGGCGGCGGGGACGGGGCGCAGTAGCGCGGCCGCGGCGGCTCCATGGCCGCGCACGGGCGAGGCAGGGACATGGGCAGGGGGCAGCGCCGGCCGCGATCGGGCCCAGGCCCGGCGGCCCCGGCCGAGCTGGGCGCCCGCGATTAGCGCGGCTTAGCTGGGCTCGGCCAGCAGGGCGCCGCGGGGGGAGGAGCGGGGCTGAGCGCTAAAGCCGCGGCCTCAGCGCAGCGCAGGATTTACCCAGGAGAAGCTCCTAAATCCCGCCACGCCCGCGCCGCGCGCTCCCAACGGCCGCGGCTGGCGGAGCGCGGCAACGTCCGCGCCGTCCGAACCGTCCCGCCACCACCGGCCCCGCCCCCGCCCGCCCGCCCCGGCCAATCCGCGCCCGCGCGGCCGCGGCGGCGCCTCCCGGTTGGCGGGAGCTGCGCCCGTCTGCGGTGAGTCAGCCGCTCGCGCCGGGCCCCGCCCCGCCAGGAACGGGAGCGTCCCGTGGGGCTGAGGTAACGGCGGCCCCGGGCTGCGCACACGGAGGACGGGAGAGCTTGCGTCCTCATCGTGCAAATCCTGTCTTCTCTGCATCCTGAATGTTCAGGATCTGATCACGGGGCGGGTCCCTCACCTGTTTGGCCTAGGATGCCGATTTCCAACAAGTGGCTTTATTAAAAATTCCGATTCCTTACCTCGAGCCGCTGTTTGACAGGTGAAAAGTGGTTCATCTATTTCTAATGGCTTTTTTCTATAATTAGAGCACTGACTCTCATATGTAAACATGTATTATTACATAGAATCGTAGAATCATTAGGTTTGGAAGAGACCTTTATGATCACCCAGTCCAAAAATCCAAACCACCTCTTAAAACACCCCCAGGGATGGGGACTCCATCACCTCCCCAAGCAACCTATTCCTACACTTGCCCATCTTAACAGCGAAAATAATTTCCTAATACCTGATCTGTGTTCTCATCGTATTGCAAAAGTCCCATACCTTCTTGGTGGTATCTCATGGGCACCTCCTCGCAGCACTGACTCCTTCACAGCACAGCCAACAAACTCCAACAACTCCTCACCCAGCTAACCCACTCTTTTGTAGCACTTGTCTTCTTATTGGACACAGCTGTGGCCTATTCAGGGCAGGCCTGTGCCTAATCTTTGGTGATTAGTACAGCTGCAACTCCTCAGGGGTGAGATTGCCTTCTGCACTATTCTCTTACATTCCATCCCTCCACAGATCTGAATCTCCCCTGTCTCAGTTTTAGGCCATTTCCTCTGGTCCTGTCACTGCAGTCACAGTAGAAACTGGCCCCTACTTCCATTAGAACCTCTTCTCTGGTAGCTGTAGGGAGCAATTCATACATAGATATGCATACATACCTATATATATATTATATATTATTAATACTTCTCATTTTACTTTTATACCAACCTGGAGGTATTGGGTTAAGAAGGCAGAATGACACAGAAGAGACACAGTCCCTATCCAAAGCAGTGGCAGTGTTTCCATCATCCTCCTGCGTCCGAGTTTCTGTTTTGTGATGGACACAGTCTGTGTGGAGGACCTGCTAACTGTTCTGCCAAGGCCAAAAGAACAGGTGGACCTACAGTCTGCATTTGTTTAATGCAATCTGTTGTTTTCCATCACTGAAAGACCTGCAAGACACTGTGGTTTATGGGGAAATGCATAAATAGAGATTTCATTATGCTGTAAACTAGCAAATTGCATATGGTTTACAAGGCAATGGAATTCTCATTACTACAATCAATACCTTGCATTTATCTTTATTTTAAATTAAGAGTAGTTAGAATAATGATGCAAATTGGAGACTTATGTAGGGGAAAATCTATCTCCAAATCTCAGTGTTAGGGATCATTAAGAAAAGGCTAATACTCAGCATTTATACCTCTAGAGTATTTCCTAAACAGAAGAATTTCTTTTCTGTCATTCAGTCCTTCGCCATGACTTACACAGGCAGTGACCTACAAAATGTAACATCTGCCAGTACACAGAGTTCTGGTGAAACACAGCAGAATTCAGCCCCAGACTCAGCCTTTGCAGGGCTAGGAGCTGTGGGGCCACGCAGAGTAGATGCCGTAATTATTTGTATAAGTTGAAGTGTTTCATCCTTTGGCACCTTTCTATAGATGTTTTGTAAATTTATATTGGAATTCTTTGTGGAGAGTATAATTAGCAGAACAGTGTTTAATGTCATGGTTAATGATTTCCTGGAACATTTGATTAGAAAATTAATCAAGCTATGTGTGCACATGATAAAGCTGTTTAAATGGACCTCCTAAATGCACTGTGGTAGAACACAATGGCTTGTGCCAATATATCACTTTCAAGGTACTGTGTTGCAATAACAGAGAAACACTGAAGGGAATAATTTATCAGGCAGTTTTACTAAGCCAAAAGTAAATGTTAGTGCTTTTGATCTATTATTATTATTTTATACTGCCCCTCTTGTGCTCATTAGGTGTTTCACAAAACAAATACACTGTTGCAACAGCTCAGTTTACTAAGATTAATCATGACTGAGGAAAAAAATTGTGAGAAAGAAATGCATCACTAATACTAAAATTGTGCAGAGATTCTACTTTGTCATAGCATGCAGATTGTCCAGGGCATGCAAATAGCTTGGCCATTTTGCATTATTTTTGTTCTGGAATGAGAATTTTTCAAATATGAAAGTCTGAGACAAAGTAAGTCTGTAAGTTAACCACGGACATTTGCAAAATAGTCCTGCAGACTGATGGGATTCATTTAGGCTTTTAGCATTCTGTTCTCTCTTTTTTTTTTTTTTTTAATATACTGTGACTCATGACTTTAAAAAAAAAAAAAAAAGAAAAGAATACTCTCCTAATATTCATTGTTCTAGAGAGGCAGTTTTCCAAATATATTCCTGTACAAAGTATTTCAAAGGCAGCCTTTGCTGTCTTTAGGCAGTTGTCCACATTTCATTTGGAGACACCTAGTTCTTTCCCATAAGAAGAAGATAAAACAGTCAATTAACTGTTCTTTCATGAGATTCATCCTTTTGACCTGTCACATAAAAGTTATGAAGGATTTTTTTCAGCAGTGTTATTGTTTTTACAAAGCAAGCAACAAGTTGTTTTTACAAGCTGTTTTTACAAGCAAGCAACTTGTTTTTACAAGTTTATTACTACTCTATTTAAGTATGCTAACAAGGAAAACCTTCCTAGCCACAGCTCCTGTGGTTTGGCAGAGACAAGCAAATAGCACACGTCTTTTCAGGAAAATGTCTTTTTGTCCCATGGAAAGCCCCAAACAGGCAATTCTTGCCCAAATCTCTCAAACTTGCATAGCTATCTGTAAGTTGTACCAGTTGAATATGTATCTTATACCTTTCCTACCATCTTATTCAAAAAGTTAGTCCTGGACTTACAAAAATATATGTGATTGTTAACTCACAAGGCCAATAAAAATTACATTAGAAAACCATGGCCTGTCCTCGTGTCTCATAGAGGTAATTGATCCTTGTTTTATCTAAGAAAGTCTTTAACAGTTGTATTTTTATATTGAAACAACACTCATTAATATTTTAAATTTATTGCAATGCAATATCCTTAAATGTAACCTGTGGATAAGATCTTACTTAATTTTCACAGCATGGGTGGCTTGCAAAACATATTATTTCATTATTAGGATAATGGGAAGATAAAACCTCAAATTGTTCATCTAGTCTAGCCTATTAAGTTTACTAAGGAACATGGCAGTAAGTTTATCATACTAATAAATTAACAAATTTATGGTACAGTTATGAGAAAATTCATACTCTGTTCAAATAATAAAGTTTTATTGAAAAAAAAAATTGCTTTTAGTTTTATTTCCTGTAAAACAAACAATTATTTTGGCTTTTTTGCACATAATTTGATTTTCCTTTAGTCAGTGTCACTGCCCCTGTAGTAGTATATGTCATCTCTACATTCTGTTTTTAGCATAGACTGGGAAAAATTAAAATCCATAGCTAAACCAATCCTAGAAGATCACGATAATCAGAAAAAGGAAAGAACTGAAAATTTGCCAACTAATACGACACTAACCTTAAGTTCTTACAAGAGAAAAATGTATTAGGCATTTTCTGATATATGATTATGGTTACGATCTTAGTAGTAAAAGCTTACAGAATTGTAAGTCTACTAAAATGTGACAAAAAGAAGTTTTGGTTTTAATTGTTCTTCATAAAGGACTGAATTTTTCCTTTGCTTAAGCTCATGATCAGGATAACTTATGTTTGTTATGAATCTATTTGAAGAGATTCTGAGAACTGAGCTCAGGCTAAATGCTTGTCGTGGGTAACACAGAGTGTTATTATATTCCATATCTCTCTCTGCCCCAAACTTGTTACTGTCTTTTTCAGAGCCAGCAGATTCCAGGAGCTGGAATTGCAAGGCAGCTGGGAGGTGCTGGTCGCCGGGTGCCTTTACAAGGCTGGGGCAGCCGAGCCAGCCTGCTCTTGTGCCTGGCAGTGCTTGCTGATGATGCAGGCTCTGCTTCAGAGGGGTTGGCTTAGGCAGTTGGCTTTTTGCCTGTTTGGCATTTGGGGGATTTTTTTGTTTGTTTTTCTGGGCTTGCAATAATACCCACTCAGAAAAACTGCATTTCGCCATCACAAACTGTTTCTGAGTGAACTTAGCCAAGCGAGCGGGTTCCCGGGGCTGGGGCAGCCGGCGCTGGTGCCCCCAGAGCGCTCCACTTCGCCCCAGCCCAGCGCCAGCAGAGCCCCTGGGCAGCAGGAGGAGCTGCCCGAGCTGACCCCAGCCTGCCAGCACCTCTCATCGGCCACTAGAGCTCCTGCCTCAGCTCCTACCTTCCTGGGAGAGGTCTTCTGGCCACCACCTTGGCCCTTTGCTTCTCCAGTCTCTGACAGCCGGCCATGGGTGACCGTGTGGTCTGGGAAACAATCTCTTTCAAGGCATCTTGGGAAGCTTGGAATGTGTGGTAGGGCACATTCCAACAATGTGGGTTAGAGCTTGCTCTGGTGAGGGGTGCTGTGCTCCCAGTACCCCCCAGCCCCTCAGTGTCAGAGCAC